GTGTGTCTGTTGCATAAAGCTGGGACCTCAATAAAAAGAAAATGATTTTTTTAGAATTCTTGAGAAAGGTCTCGTTGTAGTTAGCATGGATGTGCATAGTGACTTTTACGAGTACAAAGGGGTAAGCTAGTTTTACTTTTACCCAACTATTTTTTTTTAATTTATTAAATGAACGATTGCTTGAGCTTTATATTGTTATATACTTGCAATACCTAACCCTTTTCAAATTCTTAGGGCATTTATAAAGGACAGTGCAAGGATACATATGTTTCTTTTGACGGGTTATGGAACCGAAAATGGAGTCCACTACTGGAGAATCCAAAACTCATGGGGACGTGGATGGGGTGAAAATGGCTTTGGAGGTTATTGAAATCGTACCCCAGCTGGTTAACTTGAATGCGTTGCATCTTTTAACACGAATAAAAAGATCAACATTTCGACGAGAGACAGTTGTGTTAATCTCTCAGGCCAACATTTGATAAATAACACTAGAAGCGTGTGACGAAATACAAGAAAATCAAAGGTTTTCTAGTGAAACATGACATTTTCACCGGAAAAGAATGTAAGTACACATGGAAAATCACTTAAAGTTGTTCTCATAAAACTCATGTTACTGTCTTGTATTTGTTTTATCCTCATTCTCGTTGTTTTACATATTTCTTTATAGGTTATTAAAATCAATATTTTCAACAAAATTCAGACAAATTCAAATAAAAGAGAACTAATCAAATTGTTGGAAGACGGACTTGTAGCAGCTATAGTGGAGTTGTACAAAAGTTTCTTGGACTTGTAAGATAACCTCTGAGTCTCACTTTATGAGTTGTGTGCATGTGTAGTACATGATAATTTCATTTTCAAATAAGTATGTTGAAGAAAAATGAAATCTATGTTCATTCAACACCATTAAATATCTTATTGATTTAGGTTTACGTGGTTTTAATTATCATCAATCATTCTTTAACTTTCCTTTATAAGATTAGACGACAAAAAGATAATGAATATCTCTAATAAAAAATAAAAGACAACACGAATCTCTAATAAAAAGAAAAAAATAATGAAGAGGTAGATACATAAAGAAAAACAATATAAATCATAATTAATTTTTTGAAACTTTTGTTTTGTATATGTGTAAGAGAATTGAAGAGGATTTGATAGATAGGTAAACAATGAGAATACAATAAGATTGTAGATTTATTCTAATTTGATTAAATTGGCAGATGTCTGCTGGGGTGTAGTTCTCAGAGGAAACATTGAAGCTGCCCTTGCTATCAAAGGTAGACATGCTAATCTCTCTGCCCCTTATAAACAACATGAGGAATGTGGGTTCCAAAAGTGCAGTGACACAATACAAGGAGATTAGAGATTTCTAGTGAAGCATGACCTTGTCACCGAAGAAGAATGCAAGTACACAGGGAAAATCACTGAATCCTATTCTCATAAAACTCTGGTTAGTACTCCGGTTATTAAAATAAAGGATCTCAAAGAAATTTGGGGAGGAAAACTCAAGAGGATGAACTAATCAATTTACTAGAAAACATACCCGTAGCCGCTGTAGTGGACTTGTACGTAAGCTTCTTGAATTTCAAAGGGGTAAGTGGATGTGTTCTCTCTGTTTAGAATTTATAAACCAATAGCAGTGGAATTTAAGAATTCTAAAAATCATTAAAAAATCATACTCCCAATAACACCCTTAATGTAAAAATGGCAAATCCTTGCCATCATTTCCATATTTTGAGGGTTGTTAAGGTGTAATTGTTTTATTTTTATAAAAATTTAGGTGTAATTAAGGAATTAAGAAATGTGAATATAGCGTGTGAGAAAATAAGAAAAGTGTAGATTCAATAAGATGATTTTACCCTTCGTGTTTGCTAGTTTCTACATTCTATCGTAAGATGAGAAAGTTTTAAATAGGGGGGATAAAGTAGTCTATCTATAAATGGAAAAAAAAAACAGATTTAATGCACATTGGTTATCTACTCATTTTCAACTACACTTTTTTAATATCAAATATTCGTTTCAAAAGTGATACAAATGCATTTGAGAGACCCTAATTACGGTGAAATAATGAGCCCTAAACATACAAAAGTGGTAAAAAGAAGACGTATGCGTTATTACAACTGTACAATTATTCACAGTTTGTTAAGCTTTTCTTAAAATGCAGTTAATGCACATTGGTTATCTACTCATTTTCAACCACACTTTTTTGAATGACAAAGATTCGTTTCAAAAGTGTTACAATACAAATGCATTGAGAGATGCTAACGTCAACAATGAATATAAGGTGAAAATAATGAGCCCTGTATGGGATCGGTCACACCCAAATATACAAAAGTGATAGTAAAGAAACGTCCGTGTTATTACAAGTAGTGATCACAGTTATTCACAGTTTGTTTAAGTGCTTGGTCTTTATGTAAGGTAAAATATCATTTTTTATTAATTCGATATTAAGTAACTAAAGATAAACAAAGATTTTATATATAAGCAATTAATTAAAGATAAACAAAGATTTAATAAGTAATTAAAGATAAACAAATTAAGCTTGTCATCGAGACATGATGCACGTACGTACGGTCCAAACAGATTTTATTATCATAGTGTTGTAATACGACGCAATTATATTATTTTAGTGTTCTCTTCTTGCTTTTATTCCTGATTGGGCCTCTTCGGAACAGTCAACCAGAATATCCATCGACTGCTTTAACCGTCGTTTTCGCCACATCGAAAATCGTCGGAGGAAACTTGACAAACCAAGTGGATTCAGGTAAGCTGAACTGGATCCCGTTGGGGAAGATATGGTAATTGATGACTCCACGTGCATTCATCACGAATGAATCCTTTGTAACCGTCCATTCCATATCTGACCTGG